TCGCCAAGAGAGATATTCAAGGCAACCAGGGATCGTGATCTGTGGAAACGCATGAGCGGCTACGCCAGTTGGCAGGGCACATGATGATGATGACGATACGATCGCCAACCAGTGAGCTTATACGCTAATCGGTAGTGCACATGATGATGAAGATGAAACAGATAGCAAGACTTAGAGAGGTTCCCTATGCCAGTTGGCAGGACAGAAGATTGAAGATTACATTCTCAAATTGTCATGAAGAATCTGTCCATCCCTGCTTTTCCCAAAACATTGTTGTCATGGGCTCTCATATTCACGTCAGAAACAAAATAAGGATGGTCATTGATCTGGTTGGGACACGTTATAAAACCTGGCTAGTTCAAAACTAGTTTGTCGGTTTATTTGCTATGTGCTTGCTCTGTCCGGTTCACCCTGCTTGGTTACTGCGTTTCTACTGAGGTATTTGTTTTGTTTATCCTGTTTTTCGTTCATTGTTGATTGTTTTGTCACTTATTTGTTTTTGTTTTCTGACGGTAGGGGATCTAGTGCAGTAGCTTCACGCTTGCAAACTGGTCTTTTTTTCTATCTTCACAGTTTGCGGAATCTCAATTTGTCTTCTTCCTAGTCCGTTGTGGCGGTCACAATAGTGAACAAACTTCTGCCGTTAAGCGACACAAGTAAGAAAGTAAAGGACTCTTTCCACGCCTTTAGGCGTATAGGGCATGTAGGGCTAGACCTATATTTTATAGACCAATCGGCACAAAATAGTTGAGGTGGTCAGCATCACGCCGGCTGACTTTACTTCCCGGGACTGCACCTTTTACCCACTCAAGGCTGGGTCGACCTGGGAGCCAAGGTCATTTTTGAAAAAGTCCGGCTCCGCCAGGGAGTGAACCCACGACCTTCCGATCCACAGGCCAGCATCTAGCCGCTCCGCCACGGCGACTCCCTAAGCGACAAGAGGAGGGACGGTTATCAGTTCATTGCAATATGGACAGTAATGGCTATTATCATTCCGTGTCGATATAAAAGCTCTTTAACATCATGGATCCAGTAGCAATCATTATATTTATTTTTTAATATCATCTGAACACTGGAGATTACACATTACTCCCATTATCCAGATTATATTTTGTGTTGCTGCTTTATAATAACTGAACATCTAGATTACACAATACTCCCTTACCCAGATTATATTGTGTTGCTCTTGTATATAATCTAAACACTGGAGATTACACATTATTCCCATTATCCAGATTATTTTATGTTTTGCTGCTTTATACTAACCAAACATCAAGATTGCACATCACATTCTTAGCCAGAATATGTTATGTTTACCCGCTTTATATTAAACGAACATCTGGATTACACATTACACCCTTAGCCAGATTATGTTACGTTTTGCTGCTTTATTTTAACCAAACAGTCCAGATTACACTATACTCCTCTTATTCAAATTTATATTATGTTTTGCTGTTTTATATAACAATGGTATCAAAGAAAACAATAACTCCAAAATGTGACATAGCAATAGAAGGGAAAGTGCTTAACGAAGTCAATCACTTCAAGTATATGGGGATATTCATAACATCAGACTGACGATGTTTGACATAAATTAGGAGCAGAATTGGCCAAGCAAAGGAAGCATTTCAAAAACTGAAAAGTATCTTACGAAATAAATCACTCTCACTTAACATCAGAAAACCAATACGGAAATGTTATATCGAGGCTGTTCTGTTGTATGGCAGTGAATCTTGGAATGTGAGCAAACAAATGAGGAAGAGCTTAGAGGCAGCTTAATGTGGTTGTTGAGAAGAATGTTGCAAATACCTTGGACGGCCAGAATAACTAACAATGTTTGCCTGGACAAGGCTAATGAAAGTAGAACATTATAAACAATAATGAGAAAGAGACAAACATAGTTCTTTGGTCATGTAATGAGAGAAGGAGCACAGGAAAATATCGTGACGACTTGAGAGATCACTGGTAGAAGAAGCAGAGGCCACCAAGAGAAATGATGATGAATGGCTTAAGACAGTGGCATGGAGAAATATCATCAGTGGAATTGTTTCAGAACACCAAAGATCGAGATCTGTGGAGATGCACGAACGCCTACGCCAGCTGGCATGGCACTTGATGAAAATGATGTTAATGATGATATTAACTCAGTACTGGAGGTTGTATGTACTTACACTGCGTGGATGCTTTATTAATATCATACCCCAAACAGGGAAAATCCACAGGTTACGGGACAGTCTAATATTTTAGGGGGTGGTAGATAGGCTGCATTATGTCGTAGGACCTAGGCTGCATGCAGTCATGAGACCTAGACTGCACTCTCTCGTGGGACGTAGGCGGGTTTATGTTTATGTCAGTTCTACATGTTTTAGGGTCGTTAAAAGCATCAGAAAGGCGGGAAACCCAGTCTTACCACCCTCTAAAATGTTGGACTCTCCTGTGACGTCATCTGGGGGTAGGATATTAATAAAGAACCCACTGCTTGTCCAGCTGTTACGACTAATTGTTTGATATTGTGTATTGAGTACATGATTCTCTCTCCCCAGATGCTGTGATTACTTGAGATTATGATATCATGGATGTCGCCAGACGGGGGAGGAGGAAGGATGACCTTTCGCTATGGTGGTGGACAGCGTGGGTCATCTTGCTGCTGTCCATGCAGACAAAAGTTGTCTACACCGTTGACATGTGGTGGTAAGTTTAGACCTGTCGAATAAGTTCGTGTGGCTCCATGGCTTGAAGGTGGTAGCAGTGGGTTGGAGAGGGTGGTAGAGAGTCGTATGGGGTGGTAGGCGGTTGTAGAGGGTTGTATAGCGCGGTAGAGGCTGGCAGAAGGGGGTAGATGGTGGTAGGGGGTGGCTGAGGGTGGTAGGAAGTGGTAACGGGTGGGAGGAGTTGGCAGAGGGTGTTGCTTCGGGGAAAGTGGCAGAGAGGCGGTGGAGGGCAAGTAGGCACGTGAATAGTATGTGGTGACAGCACGCGACTCGCGGTCCCTTAACTGTCAGACCCAGATTCGCCCCCGTCAAGAAATATTTGGTGCCAGGTTCAGTCCCACCTTATAATATTTTAGGGTACTTAGCTGAAAAGGCGCCTAACGAATTTTTTTTTTTTTTTTTTAATGAAGGATGTGGGGTGAAAGGGTTGGGGGGCGGGGGGGGGGGGGGGTGGTGACATTTAGCTCAGTTACTAATTTTCTATGGAGTGGGGTTTGGCACCCTAAAGATTTTTTTCTGATTAGGGGGGGGGGGGGAGTAGGGGGAGGTGTGTTGGGCCTTTCGTCGGCATCTGTGGCTCAAAAGTTCCGAACGGCCTTTATAATTGTAAAGTGCCAGGTTCGATGCCAGCTGCGAGCGATCTGGCAACAAAACCGCCTATCGTTGCTTTCGATAAGTGTAACAAGGGCCGACCGTTTAGTTTTCAACAGAAAATTGCAAAAATAAAATAGCAAACGGCAACATCCTGTAAAGGATATGAAACTTACTTTTCTTTAGGCCTCCCACCATGAAAAATGGAAAGGTTGGGGGGAGGGGGGGCGGCAAATACTGCTCTTGTAAGTAGACGTAGCCAGCGTGCGGATGGCCACATCACACACGGAGTATCGTTTGACCGACAAAGAAGTTATGAATCTAGTATCATATGCTTGATTCGCCACTAGAATAGAAGAGGGATCTTTATGTCATTCTCTCCCCTTAACGTTATTTAAACATTTTAGCAAACACGATGTACATCTGATTGCACCAGAGCTTTCCAAACTGTGTGTCGCTTGACTTGCTAGCGTAGTTGGCTAAACCTGACTTCACAGCGACAGGATGACAAACTCCTTGTGCACTGGGTTTAGACCCGGGGATAAGCAAAAAAGACATATTTCTCCAAGATTTACGGTATTTATCATGAAATCAAGGCCGGAGGGTTGCGATATCCATTGATACCGAGCCAACGGGTTAAGAATTCATGGTTTCTAAATATGTAAAAAAAAAAAAAAAATTATTATGTCGGTTGCTATGTGAAAGTGTGTCAAGCAAACGTAAACCGTTAAACATAATAACCGCTTCACAGCGCCCAGTTATTGGTGTTATTCGTTTTTTTTTTTTTTTTTTCTTCCTTAAAATTGTTGATAAGAACTTAAAATAGTGACATTCATCCGGGTAATATTACACATATGCTGTTACTAATGACCGGTTTTCGTGAGGCAGGTTGTGTCTTTATAACAGTATTATGTCTGAGTTACAGCCCTACCTTCTGTAGACTTTAGGTTGCGTTGTGACCGTCAATGGCAATAAAATAACTAAAGGTTGAACGGGGTTTCTGGCACTTGTATCTGGGGGGTTCGCGTCGGAGTATTAGTGCAGCAAAGGCTGGCATATGCTATCAAGTCGTCTAGTTTGGAAATAGAGATGGAGGCGGTTACTGCTGCTTCTTGCTGACACGGGAATCAGCTGTACGCACATGTCGTCATTGTTAACCAAATCACTAAGCGTGTTGAGAAAGGTGTAGGCAGGCTTGCTCTTTTCAGAGTTGCAAGCACCGCTTCAGATGTCCCATTTAGTTAGCTTCCTTTGGATATTTTCTTTAGGTCATGCCGGTGTCTTGGGAAACAAGCAGGCAAATAGACAGGCCGGTTCTGCACCATTTGGTGGGAAATTAATGCAAGACAAGCTAAATGTTGTGAGGGCCTTTAGGGAGTGAGTGAACAGTGCGGAAGCACACATAGGTCATTACAGTCAAAAGAGAATGGCGCTGAGAGTAGTTACCAGTTGATTTGACAGACGCAGGCAAGGGAAAGGTGAGACGGATATACAACCAGACAGTCACTTGTGCCATCGAAATTGGAACTCTTCGTCAGCTGCTGGAGATGGCGACGGAGACTTTATGTAAGTGTCCCGAGTGCAGTGACGTGGATTCTTTTTTCAGTGTTCAACATTTCATCCAAGTAATGACGGAGTGCACTTTGTATCACAAATTGCTGGTCTCTCAGTGTGCAGCAGAGTAGAGTTCTGTGCTAGCGGAAAGAAAAAGAAGGTAAAACACAGAAGTAGGGGAGATAAAGAAAAATTGTGATTAGAATAAAAGTAATAGTTCCCTGCTAAACAGCAAAAACAGGAAAGTAGTGAAAAGACGGGAGTTTTTTTTTTTTTGCGCAGAGATCCTAGAATATTTCACTAAGACCCAGACAAAGAAAATTTGTATCGTGAGTTACATGACAACAACCTAAATACATGACTACACACACCTAGATGAACGACGTGCACGGACTACAGATCCTAAATTAAATCAAGCAAATGAATTATAATCAGCACATTAAACAGCTGTGTATTTTACAGGAACTGAACACAGAATTAACGTATACTTCACAAATAACACATTAAGAACAACCAATGTGCTCGACCAGAATCTAAAGTGCTAACCATCTCCAGCTGACAAGGAAACATGATAATGACACCATACGCTTAGTGAGATTACCTCAACAATGGCAAAAACTGAAACATATTTAACATGTTACTTTAAACTTCAATCTGCCAACAAATCACTTATAGCGACCTGTCATCAAACTATCTCCAATGAAAATCAAATCTGATTTGATTGATTTGATTTCATTCAAGAACCGACATCACAACGCTCAGGGCATTCCATAAGCGTTCCGTCCCCATCTTCAGCAGCCAGCGAAGAGTTCCGATACTAAAGGTGTCAGTAGCATTCTGATTAAACGTCCGTCTTGCCTTTCCTCTGAGCCTCGAGCATCTGCCAGAGCCTCTCGTCACTTCCCGCTGCATCAATCTCACCTGACTGTGGTGATCCATCTGCTCCTCCGAACTGTACACGCGCTCCCACAAGGAATAACCACGTCTGCCTTATCATGTATCAGTATTCCACTAAGTTGTGCAGATCATGTCCGCCTGTTCATTTCCCAACACACCGGCGTCTCCGGTAAAAAAATCCAGACAATATTCCTCACCCGTGTCCTCCGCAGCGAAGCATGCCACTCAGCACGAAGCATACCTGTTCTGATCTTCCTCAGCATGCTTTCTGAATCAGTTAAAATCACGATGTTTGTGTGTGTCGTGTTCACTAGCCAGCGGAAAGCTGCAGTGACCGCCTTCACCTCCATTCTTTAGCTGGATGCTGTGGTATCAAATACTAGGCTCTCCTGCACCAAACATCGACCATTAACTTTTGATAAGAAGCCCCAAGCACTTATTTTGCCACTTGACACTGAACCGTATGTGTAAATGATCAAATCCACCTCTGTGTCACCTGCTGGCCAGTCTCTGCATCACCGGCTCAGCGTGATTATGACTCTACACAAGCCTGACTTTTCAGGTGGCACTTTGACCCACTCTTTTCCTCGCCTAATGTTCTCAGGGATGCAAAACTGTCTGATTGTGTCTTCTGCCTGAGTCATCAATGACCTCCCTATTATCAGCCGCTGACCTTTAACTGCACCCAGAGCTTCATGCAGATGGTGGTCTGTGTCTGCAGCTACCCTAAGATATGACTTCGCCTGCAGCATCTTGTGCCTATCTGCAACGGTCGGCAAACCAAGGATGTATCGCATACACACCACTGGGGTGTCTCTGGTGCAACCCAGATTGACCCGCACAGCCGCGTTCTGAATGCGTTCTAGTTTGTCCATCTGACTCTTTGAGACGGTAAGCATTCCCAGGCCATAATCAACTAATGGCAGGATCAGTGCTGATATAGTGTGAAAAGCCTTCTCTGCTCTATGTCAATTGCAGGGATAGTCTTAGTGCACTAAGTCCTTTTTGTCATCTCGTCACAACACGCTCCACATGGTGCTTAAATGACAGGCTCATGTCAAATGTAATTCCCAGATACTTCGGTTTGCTCTCTCTGTTGACGTTCCTACCATCTATTGTGAGACTTGGGACATTAGCTTTAACGATTCTGTTGTCCAGAGAACACCACAAAACAGACGCCTTTTCCGGGTGGACGACAGCGCTAATTTCTGTACACCACTCAGTCACTTTGTCTACTGTCACTTGTAGCTCCCGGGCTGTTTGTTCCCTCTCTTCCCCCTGCCTATATGCAAGTAAAGCATCCGCAAAAGTCAGTATCCTACCAACTCCTGGTGCTCTAGGCTTGCAATCTTGCTCGTATACACGTTAAGAAGCACAGGTAGGAAATCAAATCTAACACCACCTTACCAACTGAAACATAGCGTGAGACCAACCAGGAAAATCAGCCAGACAACCGGCCTTCCCCTGCATTCGCCCATACCTATGCTGTCTAGCCCAATGTGCAGGGCCACAACAGCTGGAAAGGTCTTTACAGGGTGCGTCCGGGAGTCAAAACCCCCCCCCCCCCCAAAAAAAAAAAAAATAGCGAATGAGCTGGCCTTTTTATACACAGTGGCCAGACTTTTCCGCGTTTGTAAACCAGAGTATCCACCGAACAAACCAAAATCGCCAAGCTGCTGAACAGCAGTCTTTGTCGTTCTCGAGCCTATCACAGTTAAACTCCACTCACTCACTCATTTATGTATGTGTACAAATACATTGCAAAAATTAGTGTGACATCTGAGTTTCTAGTAGACTGACTGGTGTTTAAGTGTGCTGGGAGGGAAAAATCGTCACATTCAACGAGCATCCTCAAAGGGGAAGATTTAGGTTATAATTGTGACTAGGTTCTGTGCGCCAAATAAAATGGCTTAGCATGGCACGCCATTAAAAACCTTGAAAAGGGCTCCTGCATTGTTGATAGATCAAATAAGACAGACCCAAGTCGTCCATCGGCGAACTAATGGGCGACCTGGCCGCTGATGTATGTGTAGTAGAGTGAATTACTGTGTCCTGGATTTATACTTGTCTGAAAAGTGTGTCTACAGTAATAACATTTTGGAAAGCTCTGGATGAGACCAAGTACGAATTGCTGCTTGTTTCCCCTGACAAGCTAGAGCACTTGCTAGGTCATAACAGCGTCACTGACAGGGAAGTGAATGACAGACACAGACAAACAGACATTCCAATGTAATGGCAGGCAGACATATTCCAACACACGTAGCAAACGAGGCTCTATCTAGGGCAAATTGTTAAAAAATAAAAGAAGCAATTATAGAATCCATACTATACTGTTTACAGTTTATTTCGGTAATTCGCTTCTTTCCTTATTAAAGCGTGAATCAAAGAAGCCAAAGTTAAAGCCGAATGGATAAAAGAAAGATGGATGGACAGACATACTTACAGGCAGTTAAACAGAATATGTCCTTACTACTTTTTAGGCCGGTGTAGGGTAGGTAGAGGGGCAGTAGGGTCGTGAGCCTGAGAGTTTTAAGGCCGTAGATCGAGTGCAGTCTGCATGAAGAGTGCAATCAATGAGGAAATAAAAGACATAAATTACGGCATGGCTAACAAAAGATGTAGCAGGAAAGGAGAAGACGTGTGGATATAAGTAGCGATAAAAAAGACAGAAAGGCAGAAACGCAGACAGTCTAGCATGCAGTCGACTGGAGTAATAGTGGATGTACAGACAGACAGACAGACAGACAGACAGACAGACAGACAGACAGACAGACAGACAGACAGACAGACAGACAGACAGACAGACAGACAGACAGACAGACAGACAGACAGACAGACAGACAGACAGACAGACAAAAGCATAATAGATTATTAGTTACACGACATGTATTTTAGGTGCGTTACCGAAATCCCTTTGATCTTTATCCAAAATCCTACCACATAGTAACACATTAATCTTGTTTGCTTTTTATTCCTGATTACATAATCAAATTATTACATCACCATCGTAATCATGTGTCAAGCAGGTAAGGGTGAACTTTCAGTTTCCACACAATCACCAGAATCAAGGACCATATCAGTGTTCATGTCCCGCCTAAGCGATGTAGCTAAGTCCTCCCGATATTTCCTTTGTATGTTACTCTTTGTCCAAAATGAAATATCCCACATTGTTATATTTTAGACCATACCGTTGGATTTCTTTTTTTTTTTTTTTTTTTTGAAGTGACGACCTTGGCTACCAGGTCGACCGAGCCTTGAGTGGGTATCAGGTACAGCCATGGGAAGTAAAGGCGGCTTGCGTGATGCTGACCACATCACCCACTAAGCGCCCTTTGGTCTATAAAATATAGGTCTAGCCAAATATACGAAATGAGCTTCTAGGCGTGGAAAAGGATCCGTTTTTTTTTAACACTCCAGTCTTCGCTCATTTGTTGCTCTATGTTTGATTCAGCTGAAGTCTTGTGATTGTTGTCAATTAGGTGGAGTCTTCATAATGAAGGTTGGCTGCAGTGGAGTACCTTTGTATTTGGATGTTTTTGCTTCTATGAAATCGTATACCAGAACTTGAGTTTTGTGGGCACATCCGTCTCACACATATGGCTTATTTTTTGTACGCAGACTTAAGTTCTTCGCCTGTTAGGCAAATGCACTCTATCAAGGAAACACCACTAATTAGTCGGCTTTTACGACAAGCTTATGGGGGGTGGGGGAAGGGCACCGGATCTACTCTCCCCACCCCTCCCCCTTTTGCGCCCCCTTCCCACTCCCACAATGGGACCCCGCAGCGTGGATAACCTCATAAAAAAAAGATGTTACAACGACAGAAATGAGATTCTTGTAAAGGCATCTTAATATAGCCAGAAGAGATACAGATCATCAACGAGAAATCTGAAGGAAAATGAGGATAACGGTAGTTTTTTGTTTTATTAGAAAACAAATACTGAAATAGATTCGCCAGCTGATGCGGATGACAACAGACAGTATAACACAGCAAGCAATGACGTACAAAACAGGCTGAAAGCGAAGCAAAATCCAACCATGTAAAGGATGGACAGAGGGGATAACAAGAGTCCTTGGGAATCCCCATCCAGGAAGCGCACAAATGGGCACTTTCCTGTAAATTATGCTAGACCTCGAAACCACAAGGCACAAGAGGCTTACGACGAAATGAGATAATGCACTTTAGTACAGATTTAACCCAAGACCTTCCTTAAACCACTGAGCTACCTAGCCTGACAATCTGCTTGTCTGTGCAAATTTCTTATTTCTACAACATACTTTATAGATTGTTGACTACCACTATGCACTTCCTGTTTGCTTATCGCTTAGACCGGATTAGCGCAGTCGCTTTCATATCCAGCTGCAACTCGCTGCAGCCCAAGGACTGTGTTCGATAGGGGACGGTTCTCGGGGCTCACCCAGCCTCTGGGAAATTGGTACCAGTGTTGACACTCTTGGGTAAATAGAGCAGCGTCGCTGTAGCTACGGAGTTACGTGTGCACGGCGACACAGGCGGACAGTTTCTTATCAGCTGTCCGTACTTGTGGCAGAGTACTTATGGTTTTTAAGCGTGTGCAATGACACTTGTTCATATCTCCCGACATTACTTTTTTGTTTATTGTCCAGGTTTGGGCGCCGTATAATATGTATCACTGAAAAACAATACGTTTATTCTAACAGGCAGCTTGGTGTTCAAGGTCTGGAGAAGTGGAAGAACCCCCAGCTGCTCATCCTGGGTGCCCAGCCCATCTGCACGCAGCTGAAAGGATTGTCAGCGGGGCAGATCAAGTTTTGCCAACGATATCATGACCACATGCCCAGTATCGGTCGAGGCGCCAAGCTGGGCATTGCCGAGTGTCAGTGGCAGTTTCGAATGAGGAGATGGAATTGTAGTACCGTGCAGGACTCTTCAGTATTCGGCCCAGTACTAAATATAGGTAAGAAGGGATTAGTCTGGGGTTGTGAACGCCGTTTGAAAATCTGCCATACTGGCGTTCGAAGTCACCTGCATGCTATTTCGATAAAGGCTGCTTTTTGTTGATGTCGACAAGAGTATGGGTGTGGTATCCTACAACAGTTTGAGTGTGGTATCCTACAACAGTGTGAGTGTGGTATCATACAACAGTGTGAGTGTGGTATACAACAGTGTGAGTGTGGTATCATACAACAGTGTGAGTGTGGTATCCTACAACAGTGTGAGTGTGGTATCCTACAACAGTGTGAGTGTGGTATCATACTACAGTATGATTGTAGTATCCTACAACAGTGTGATGTGGTATCATTCAACAGTGTAAGTGTGGTTTCCTACAACAGTGTGAGTGTGGTTTCCAACAATAGGTCAAATGTGGTATCCTACAACAGTGTGAGTGTGGTATCTTACAACAGTACGAGTGTGGTATCCTACAACTGTGTGAGTGTGGTATCCTACAACAGTACGAGTGTGGTATCATACAACAGTGCGAGTGTGATATCCTACAACAGTGTGTCTGTGGTATCCTACAACAGTGTGAGTGTGGTATCCTACAACAGTGTGAGTGTGGTATCATACAACAGTGTGAGTGTGGTATCATACAACAGTGTGAGTGTGGTATGCTACACAGGGTGAGCGTGCCATCCTACAACAGTGAGTGTGGTATCTTACAACCGTGTGTCTGTGGTATCCTACAACAGTACGAGTCTGGTAATCTGTCATTATTTTAAGTCAAACTAATAAACGCAGAACTGTCCAGTAAATTTCACACAACAGCCCAAAATATTGGGGTTGGTTTGCTTTGCCCTGAAAAGGAAACGCACATGACCTAATGCTTTAGGTGTATCAAAGCAAATCTAGAGCAAAAGTCTCCCATAGTTAGCTAGTCTATGTTTCACCTTCAGGATACATCAGTCACAACATGACTGCTCCTCTCCTGTGCAATTGCTGTCTATAAGAAAACGTGGTTAATATTTGTTTAAATCTGTGCCATTCAAATTATGACCTCCGTGACAAGAGACAAGACTACTAGTTACTGCGCTCCCGCATTTGAGTCATATTATCTCAAAGATGCTTCTTCTAATTCTTCTTCTACTTCGTCGTCTTCTTCTGCTTCTTCTTTTCTTCTTCTTCTTCTTCTTCTTCTTCTTCTTCTTCTTCTTCTTCTTCTTCTTCTTCTTCTTCTTCTTCTTCTTCTTCTTCTTCTTCTTCTTCTTCTTCTTCTTCTTCTTCTTCTTCTTCTTCTTCTTCCTCTACTACTACTACTACTACTACCACTACTACTACTACTACTACTACTACTACTACTACTACTACTACTACTACTACTACTACTACTACTACTACTACTACTACTACTACTACTACTATTACTACTACTACTACTATTACTGCTACTACGACTGCTACTTCTACAACAACAACAACAACAACAACAAAAATAACAACTACTACTACTACTACGACTTCTTCTTCTCCTCCTTCTCTGCCTCTTCCTCCTCCTCCTTCATCTGCGTCTTCTTCTTTTTGACTTTCCCATTTACTGCTTCGGGAGTCGAGGAAGATATAGTTTTCTACTTCTTTCTGTTTTTGCCGCCTCGATGATAAACACATTGTACTGTTATAGAGTTTCTCTGATGATATTTCTTTTCATATTGTTTTTGGTCTGTTTTGCGCTCTACGTACTTCTCATCTTTTAATATTTGCCTTGTGTCACAAGCCACTTTTTCTAAACATGCAAACCATTTGATTTGCTGTCTTTATATGTAGTTTAGAATTGGTTCTCTGCTGAATATTGTTTTCCCTTTTTACTTCATTTCTGATTTGTCACTTTGGCAGCCCTTCTCAGTTCTCAAGAAGGACAGAAGGTTAGACGGGCCCGCGTGCCCAATTCTTAACCCTTTAAAAATAAAGTTTGTTCGTTCGTTCGTTCGTTCGTTCAAAGCACTTTTTTTTACAGTTTAGATCTTTGGATTACTTCCTGTATTTAATCCGTCATCGCTCCCTAGGATGTTTTTTTTTTTTTATAATTTTTTTTTATATTTTTTATATCGCTTGAAGTAATAAAAAAAGTAAGTTAGTAATAGTAAAAGTTTGTTCGTTCGTTCGTTCTTTCGTTCGTTCAAAGCACTTTTTTTTACAGTTTAGATCTTTGGATTACTTCCTGTATTTAATCCGTCATCGCTCCCTAGGATATTTTTTTTCAATTTTTTTCAATATTTTTTTATATCGCTTGAAGTAGTAAAATAAGTAAGTTAGTAGTAGTAAAAGGCTTTTTCACCACCAGTGTCGAACCGGGTGCATTATCATTCTTTTTTTTATTCCTTTATTTATTCATTCAATCATTCATTCATTTATTCATTTCTTTGTTCAATCATTCATTCATGCATTTCCTATTGTGCTATTTTATGTCCCGCAGGGCTGGCAACCTATTTCTCCATTCAGATCTGTCCTGTAGAATCACTTTGATATTATGGATGGCATCCAGTCCAGCACCTTTGGCTTCTGTCATCAACGTTCGCTTTAGGGTTTCTTTTGGATGTCCACTTTCCTTAGTCCCACAGTTTTCCCAATTCCCCACTGCATGCATGTGGGGTGTTTCTTTTTTGGTCTCTTTTCAGAATGTGTCTAGTAAAACACCATATTTTCTATCTCATAGCTGATGATACAAGTGGTTGGCAAGAAAATTCTCTTATTTCTTCACCCCTGTTGAATCTATCCCATTTTATCTTCATCGGGGGCAACCAAATCTAGGGATTTATGCACATTGCAGAAGGCGACGTTGCGGTTCCTTGAGGTATGAAGTCTTTTTAATCGAATCAAAACTCATCACGTGCCCAAACCAAACTAGCATGCTCCTGTTACTATACGCATGGCTGCATTTATATCCGTCTGTATATCTTTGTGTCTATACGTCAGTGTCTGGGTTATTTATACGATGGTCTCCCCATTTGCACACAACTGGTTGTAGGTCAACTCCATTAATAAGTTGGTTGGACTAGTCTACAGTGGTCAAGGTTATGGGTTTCGCAGTCTGTTGTTGTATGGTATTTACGTTTTTATTTCCGAGAAAGAAACGGCCGGTGACATAGGTTTTGTCAATATCCAGTGGGATTGTGTGTTAGACCCTGTATGTAAAGTGTAAAGTGTTAAAAGCTCTGGCATGGTGAAATCCACAACACGCGTTATGAGCGCGAGTGCGAAATATCCTAGTAACATTGTGTGAAAGTTAAATCGCTCGAGGCCGATCTGTCAGTAGTGAGGTGGTCAGTAGGTCGTAGAATCAGCTAGTGTGTAGCTGTGAGCAAATGGAGAGACTAGCATAACATTTACCAGTGTCTGTGTATATCTGTCTTTCTATCTGCTTATCAGGGGCTGCGTGGTCTCGAGGCATGCTGTCTGCCTCGAAAGCTAGAGGTTCCGGGTTCAATCCCACGTGGGTTTGGACCTCTAGTAATTCCCCTTGGTCTCTGGGTAGTGAGATCGGACTCCCGTGTGCATTGCTGCGCACTTAAAAAAATCCCTTGGAAGTTGAAAATCGAAAAAAAAGTAGCCTAACGGCGCTGCCAAGGCAAAATTTGGAGTTAAAAATCTACCCAAAGTATTTCATGATCCTCGCGGTGCTACAGAGCCTGTGCACTGTGCTGGGCTTCTTCTGACCCAGCCTTAAGTTAGAAGAAGAAAGGAGCACTTATGTTTTACACCCATGTGTCATGATGTTGATCCGTTGTTTAAAACCTCAAAACTTATCTCTATATCCTTCCTTCTTCCTATACATCTGTTTATTTTTCTCCCTGTATCTTTTTCCCGCAGCAATACTAACCCACACATGCATTTATTCTTTCATGACAAATATAAAACATGTTATGTTACTGTATGACTGTCTCCAGCAAGCCGTGAAGCGGCCTTCACTCACGCAATCTCCGCGGCAGGTGTCGTCCATGCCGTAAGTCGTTCGTGCAGGGAAGGAGACCTATCTACCTGCGGATGCAGTCGAGCTAGGCGGCCCAAAGACCTCCACAGAGATTGGATATGGGGTGGCTGTGGTGACAACATTGAGTACGGGTACCGATTTGCCAAGGCTTTTGTCGACGTTAGAGAGAAGGAGAGGAATCACCCTAGGCATTCCAGAGACCTTGGCAGGATGTTGATGAACCTACATAACAACGAAGCAGGGAGGAAGGTGAGTGAATTCGTTTGTAAGTTTGTGCCAACTCCACGTGCAATGTACTCAAGCCGCTGAGATTGCCAGAAAACGAGCGTAAACGCCCACTGAAGCAATGTGGTGAAACTGCAGAAACAGCGCCGAGCTCGCTGTGGACGCAACAGAATGACGTGGGAGATAGGCCTGGATAGACTGGTCCGAGACCCCAGTGGAAAAGAACTCTTAAATCACTTAAGCCAAATGTAGTGCGAATAACGTTTGTCCGTGCTACTGCCAGCTGACACAGTCTGTCCCATAAACGTCTGTCCGATAAACCAACCGTCCATTTGTCACTCTAGTATTGTAGTTAAGCGCTTAATTTGCTACAGTAGAGGAGAACACCATAACCTTAGTTCTTGTTGCCATTATCATAACATCCTGTCAAACAAGCGCAGTATGAAATGTCTGGAGCCGGGCAGTCATGATGAATCGGTCGCCCCCCCCCCCCCCCCACCACCACCATTTTTTTCTTCCCAGATTGTGTAGGGAGGTAAACAAGCTGAAACTATTGTTGAGAGGGGGACACCTTTCTAACGATCGGTAGACTCCTGCTATGCTGTCGTAAAGTTCAGCTTATACAATGAAGCAGCGAGGAGGTTGAGTGAATGCGATTGTGTGTTTGTGAAGAAAAAGATATAGTGATGGGAGATTTAACAAGGGGGATCTCTTAACTAGCATGGATTATGTGTGAACTAGCCAGGGTGAAGTATGAACTGGTGTGTGTGATGTATGAACTAGTTAGTGTGAAGTATGAACTAGTAAGTGTGCTGTATGAACTAGCTAGTGTGATGTATAAACTAGTTACTGTGATGTATGATCTAGTTAGTGTGAAGTATGAACTAGTTAGGGTGATGTATGAACTAGTTAGTGTGCTGTATGAACTAGTTAGTGTGACGTGTGAACTAGTGAGTGTGATGTATGATCTAGTTAGGGGGATGTATGAACTAGTTAGTGGGATGTATGAACTAGTTAGTGGGATGTATGAACTTGTTAGTTGGATGTATGAACTGGTTAATAGGATGTATGAACTAGTTAGCGGGATGTATGAACTAGTTAGCGTGATGTATGAACCAGAAGTCGGCGTATATAGCAGAGGCGTTTCGAACGCGCTTCGTAATTCCGAAATATCAGGTTCAATTCCAACTTCAGACGATTTGGAAGCAGACTGCTGTGTATTAATTTCGACATTGGTATGAACTGTCGAGCATCTAATAAGAATTAGCGAAATGCTGAAAGTAGAACTGGATAAAACGTCTCACAAAAATGTCAGGGTTGTTTCTGCTACGCCCTGTAAAGAATAAGCATCATTTTTTTTTAAATGAAGAAGGTGTGATGTTATTTCAGCTTCAAAGAATAAAAAATGGACTAGCAATGCTATACGTATTAGATAGTGTGATGTATGAACTAGTTGGGGTGTTACCTGCAGTAGTCAGAGGGATATATGAATTAGTTAAGGTGTTGTCTGAAATAGCAGAGTGATATGCGAACTATTTAGGATGTTAGCTGAACTAATCAGGGTATTAAGAACTAGTTAAGGTGCTATCTGTAGCAATCAGAGACGTCAGAATGATGAACTAGTCAGAGTGCTGTATGAACTAGTTAGATTTTTATCTGAACTAGTCAGAGTATTGTATGAACAAGTAGGGTGTTATCTGAAAAAGTCAGAGTGATGTATGAACTAGATATGATGTTATCTGAGCTAGTCTGTGATGTATGAACTAGATAGGAAGTTATCTGAGCAAGTCAATGACGTATGAACTAGATAGGAAGTTATCTGAGCTAGTCAGTGATGTATGAACTAGTTAGGAGGTTATCTGGGCAAGTCAATGATGTATGAACTAGATAGGATGTTATCTGAGCTAGTCAATGATGTATGAACTAGTTAGGATGTTATCTAAACAAGTCAACGATGTATGAACTAGACAGGAGGTTATCTGAGCAAGTCAAAGATGTATGAACCAGCTAGGATGTTTTTTGAGTTAGTCAATGATGTATGAACTAGACAGGAGGTTATCTGTGCAAGTCAATGATGTATGAACTAGATAGGATGTTATCTGAGCTAATCAATGATGTATGAACTAGATAGGAGGTTATCTGAGCTAGTCAATGATATATGAACTAGATAGGATGTTTTCTGAGCTAGTCAATGATGAATGAACTAGATAGGAGGTTATCTGAGCTAGTCAGTGATGTATGAACTAAATAGGAGGTTATCTGAGCTAGTCAATGATGTATGAACTAGATAGGAGGTTATCTGAGCTAGTCAATAATGCATGAACTAGATAGGATATTATATGAGCTAGTCAATGATGTATGAACTAGATAGGATGTTTTCTGAGCTAGTCAATGATGTATGAACTAGATAGGATGTTATCTGATCTAGTCAGTGATGTATGAACTAGATAGGATGTTATCTGAGCTAGTCAATGATGGTGAACTAGATAGGATATTATCTGAGTTAGTCATTGATGTTTGAACTAGATAGGATGTTTTCTGAGCTAGTCAATAATGTATGAACTAGATAGGAGGTTATTTGAGCTAGCCAGTGATGTATGAACTAGATAGGATGTTATCTGAGCTAATCAGAACTAGTTAGGGTGTTATTTGAACTAGTCAGTGATGTATGGACTAGTTAGGAGGTTATCTGAACTGAAGAGGGTGATGCATGAACTATTTATGGTGTTGTCTAAACAGTCAAAGTAATGTATGAACTAGATGGGATGTTTTCTGAGCTAGTCAGAGTGATGTATGGATTAGGATGTTATCGAACTAGCCAAAAATCCTTTCAAAATGCACACAGTATACACCTTGACTTGAATCAACATTCGTGAGATCGAGACAAGAATTGTACCGCGCAAGCTACTGTCATTCAGTGCATGAGCTATAACAGGCGTTGATCATTCTATCAGCATGTTTTTTATGGACTAGCAAATCAGACGAACCAACCAAGATGTTCTATGGATAATGAAGACGGAACTCTAATCTGCACTTCGTCAAAAATACTTCACACTTCTGATATAATAATAACAAACGCCAAATGTAACATCATCCTAACAACACCAGCAAGAGACCCTCAACCTTTAACATCATCATTCCGTACAACAACTCCATAGCAAAAGAGCATCAGAAAAATCTCACAGCCCATTTGAGTTTATCTCTCTCCGTACACTTTTGATCCTGATGCAAGCAACAGCCAGGCATTAAACCCTGCTCCCGTTTATGTGCTGTTACCGTGCTTCTGAGGTGATTAGAATCAAACACCGATGCAGGCCATTAAAACCCACACACATTTCGACTCACACACACCCGTTCTTTGTACACCCAGTGTTCAAAGATGTTGCTTCCAGCGTTCGTCTGGTCTGCGTCTTTATTAATGGCGAAGCTTGCGCGCACACCGAGCAAACGGGCTTGCTTATCGGGGCTATGAAACACGTCAAAAGGACCCGTAGAAGTAATTAGTAGTGTGCACGAGCGTTAACGACATCATAAACTCAGCCAACGGTTCTCAGACTGAGAAACATTGACACTGCAGTTCTGGTGCTGTTTATTTTAAACGAGTTTGGCTGTTTGAACAGTTGACTCTTCTCATTTTCATTGTCATCATCCTCATCTTTTTGTTTCTTATTTGGTTTTTTGTTTTGTTTTCATCTTCTTCTTATCTTCCGTTTCTGTTACTTTTCTGCTCTTTCTTCTCCTTTCTTCTCTCTTTTCTTTTCCTTTATTCTCTTTTTTTTTTTTTTTTTTTGCTACTTCTTCTTTTTCTTCTTATTTTGCTTCTTCTTCTTTTTCTTCTTCTGCTTTTTTTCTGCTTTTTCTGCTTTTTGTGCTTCTTCTTCTTCTTCTTCTTCTTCTTCTTCTTCTTCTTCTTCTTCTTCTTCTTCTTCTTCTTCTTCTTCTTCTTCTTCTTCTTCTTCTTCTTCTTCTTCTTCTTTTTCTTCTTCTTCTCCTTCTTCTTCTTCTTCTTCTTCTTCTTCTTCTTTTTCTTCTTCTTCTCCTTCTTCTTCTTCCTCTTCTTCTTTTTCTTCTTCTTCTTCTTCTTCTTCTTCTTCTTCTTCTTCTTCTTCTTCTTCTTCTTCTTCTTCTTCTTCTTCTTCTTCTTCTTCTGCTGCTGCTTCTGCTTCTTCTTCTTCTTTTGATTATTATTATTTGTTTACCAGTAAAAGGAGGTTTGGCACGAATTGTGGTTTAAATTTGTCTGCGATATCTGCGGCTTTCGGCACACCTCTCTAAGTTTAAACAAATCCTTAATTAATCGTTTTTTTTAAATTAAATGTTTGTTAAGAAACACGAGGGGGGGGGGGGGGGGGGAGGTCTCTTCATTTTCCCCTAAAATGTGGCCTAGGAATCCACGAAGGGATTCATAAATACAAGTGACCAACGACGCAACTTTTGACAATTTCTAGGCGTTCTCAGTCCATTTATTCAGCAGTTATTACATAGCATTTTGTGTGTGTGTGTGTGTGTGTGTGTGTGTGTGTGTGTGTGTGTGTGTGGCTATTTCGCATATGAAACAGCTAAATCTCATCCTATCTTGAACTCGAAGACGGAATTGATGTGTCTAGCCTCATTTTGTTAATAAACAAGTCTTTGAACAAAGAAGACACAAACAATATACTGCACTATTTATTGCCTGGCATATTTCGCTGTATCTCGTCAGGTGCATACTACAGTAACAATTAATGCAAATGAAGCAAATAGCTGAATCCTAGAAACTGAAACACAAATTCGAGTACATTTCAAACTGTTTCACCAAGGTAAGCGTAGGGCAATGGCCATTTCTTTTTGCCTACATAGATCCGGTTACAATCATCAGCGATTGCGTGCCATATTCTAAATTCCGGGCACATCATTAACAGGGATGATGCATTTCGAATTATTTACACTTCTTCCAACCGTAGATTACTTCGATACACGGAAGCTTCCGCGATTGGCAGATTGAAACCGGATCTTTGTTGGCAAATGTTACTGTTAATTGTTAC